CTCAGGAAGCGAGCACGATTGGCGGAGCCCGACTGATTCCCCGCTCCCGTCGCTCGCGCCGCACCCGCAGCTCCCACTACCCCCGCCACATCCTCCGCTACATGACTTTTCGCCGCATATCCTGCTGGCGTCGACGCCGCTTTTCCCGTCGCCACCGCCACCGCCGCCGCCGCTTTCCTCCGCAATCGCCGTTATCTCCATGATTTGATCCGCGAGGCGGTCGTCGTGCCGCCATTGGCTGACGACGGACGAGAGCTGCATCGCGGCGTCGCTCGCGACGTTCCGCAATTGGCGGCGGCGAAAGCGGCGGAGGCGTTTCTCGAATTTCCGAACGCATTCTGGCGTGATTTCCGTGTTTATGAGCCCGCGCTGGGAGAGGGACTGCGCCTCGTCGTTGCCTAAGTTGCGCCAGTCTATAACGGGTATAGGGCACACCTCTGATACGGGCTCCATAGTAACGGGTGACTACTGCGACTGCTAACAGCAAAAAGTCGCGATGGGGGTCAAAAGGCACTGCTGTCTTCTGTTCGCTGGAACGAAGAAGCCGACACCACAAATCGAGGCTTTGAACTGGAAAAAAACATAGAATTTCCAAAAGCTGGATCAAGGGGAGGAAGCTAATCGTGTATTAGCTCTGCGGCACAGCTTAGTTTGGGAGGAAGGAACCCATGCGGAGGTCCTATACTAGCTCTGCCGGCCGACTCCCGCGGAATTGCCAGTGTGTAGGTGGTAACTGAAGAAACTTGGCAGCAGCATTGAAGGTCAGCAGTTCGACAGTAGTGTAGGTGGGGTGGGGTGGCGAGGTGACGGAAAGAAGGCATCACGCAGAAGGCGGAAGTTGAACTGCGACGGATGCGCTTTGTGCTTCCTTCTTCGCGATTCTCCCCCGCTCACTCCCACTGGCTAGGCGCCACTGCTCGCCGTCATCACAATGTGCTGGCTGGATCTGACGGTTGAGAAAAGATTTAGACGTCGTGTTCTCTGATCTTCATCTGACGCGAGGAGCAGCGGTAAAGCATGCGGTATGATGATAGGCTGGCTGGCTTGATTTTGGCTGATGTGTGTTATTGATGGATGGATACTTTTCTTGCCCTCGCCTCGCCTCAGTTGTGACCAGGTGGGATTGAGGGTTCATGGCACGAGGTTTTTGGATGCGGGAACCGAAGTGGGAGGCAGGGAGGAGAGGAGATGACATGAGAGAGGTGAGAGGAGAGGAGGAAAAGGAAGACGGCGGAGCGGAGCCGAGCCGAGCCATTTTGCGAGAGGGAATTGTGGTGAAAGGGGGGGCAGTTACGAATCACAGTACAGAAACATGGAGCAACTTCACCCCCAGTGGCTGCACTTTTATGACCAGGAGGAGGGAAGCGGCGATTCTCATTCACAGAACCCACGCACGATCTGTCGGTGAGTCACGAAAGTCTGCAACGAGGTGGCACTGCCTGGCGACATGTGTGATGCATGTGGTGTGTAGAACAGATTTGGTTGCTGTGGTGGTGGGAGTAGGCGAAATTTAACGGCTGGGATGGGTCATAATAAAACATAGACGGAAGAGATCGAGTTGATCGGTGGAAAGAGCGGGATCAGGCCTCTCTTTTCTTTTTGAGGCACTCTTCCATTTCAGGGTTGGTGGCGGGTGGGAAATTCCGGCTAGTGGCAGGGTATTCTCCAAAAACGCTGATTTCTGGAAGGTTCATGCCTTTGCTCCGCAAGCCAATGCGAGTCAGTGTCCAAGCCTTGCATGCTGTTTCACTTAGCCGAATTTCTGTAAGACTAGGGTTGCTGGGAAGTTTAGGCGGTTGTTCGTAACAAATGGCAGTTCTCGGAGAGATCGGGAAGTTTTTAAATATCGACAAGTTCTCTCTACTTAGCCTCGCTAGACAGTTTTCAGTCCGAACACGGAAGTTCAAACTTTCCGACGAGCTTCAACGAATTTCAGAAAGAAGAGTGGAGTAGAGAGTCTCTGCTCAACTTTTCCTGAACAAATTTCTTGGAAGAGAATAGTAGAGAAAACGCGGCTCGATTTTATACTTAGACGAGTTTAGACAGAAGAAGGGAGTAGAGAGTGATTCGCCCAACTTTCTCCTAGTCAGAGATGGGACAGAGAGGGTCGGCTCAAACTTATACATAGACGTTAGGGAAATGTGGAAGAACCATTTGTGACAGAACCATTTCAAGCCGAGTTACAGAAGTAGAAACCCGGAAGTGCCGCCTAAAAAAGACAGCCCGCCTGGATGGTGGCCGGGTGGGAATCGGACGGGCCCAGTTTTGGCAGGGTGGGTACGAAAAACCTCTCTGATTGGCAGGGATATCCGGGTAAACACCCTGAAAATGAGAGCCCTGCGGGATGATGTGATGTGATGCGATCATCCATGCCACGAGATGGGATCAAGGGAGGGATCGTGGGATGGGATGGGAGGGGATGGGATGGGATAGAATGGGATGGGATGGGATGAGATGGGATGGGATGGGATAAAATGGGATGGGATGGGATGGGATTCAGGTTCAGGGTAGGAAAAGAGAAAGGGAAACGGAAGGACAGCAAACAGGCAGAGTCAGGAGGAGAGGTGCGGTGCGGTGCGGTCACTGTGCTGTGGTCCCCACAACCAGCCTGGTCAGGTCTAGCTGGACTCGTCTGGCCAGCCACCGCAACGGTTCGTTTCTTTTATTTCTCTGTTAGACAGGGACAAAAACGGGAAACCGTTTTGTCCCCAGAAAAACGCTGGTCTGCTCTCTTCCCTTGCAGCGATAAGATTCTTCCACTGTAGCTCGCACGTTGACTTAACCTAACCGTGCAGACTTGCTGGGCAGTTCGCACTGCACTGCAACTGAAGTGCAGCTGCACCCAGAAGATTGGCTACAGATCACACAGATGACAAATATACACTTGATGTTCTTGAACAGCTAACAAATGTCAAAAGAGCCAATTTCACTACAACCATGTATACACGCAGAATTCCGTCAAATGAACGCCTTGTAGAGGGTTCGGGTGTAATCCAGACCGAAGAGTACGACTCGGATGTTTTCGCCAGAAGCAGAGACTGTTTCTAGTTACACATTCCAGGACGTTCAGTTCGCAGACACGCGAAGGTTACCAAAGGGAAGCAAATTCGTAGCCAATACATAAATTCATCTGGTAACCTGTACATCCAAACCAAGTAAAACTGCCACTTTTCCTACAAAAAATATTGATATCCTACGCACTATTTCCTGATTGCTTTTCTTGCGATGCAAACTTGGTGTACCTGAACCAGAAACCTTTTGTACAGTCTACAGTTGTGTATCCAGGGGCACGAGACGACCACCAAATGAGGCGCACGGGCAGCTGAGAGTTTCGGCTGTTGCTCGTTTGTCTGTTTGTCAGCGCCAGCGGACTCTGGCGTTTCCGTTCATGACAACTAAACAAAACGACAAGGAAACCAACCTAAATTCCATATCGTCCGGTGTGCAACGCAGCTGATGTCTCGCAAAAATTGGCCCGTGGTTTCCACATCCAATCCGTTTCTTAGGCAGTGGTACACCGAAGTTTCTGAAACACATGTATAATACCGTATGGGTTATTACATATACCCCCTTGCAGTCAAGACCCATTCATTCAATTTATGACATGACTGTCTTGTGTGGCATGATGGCATCAACGGTATTATGATCATCCTCAACGACAATAGCAGCTGTGCCTTGCTCTCATTACACAAATAAATGCGGCCATCCTACTTCAACCTTTTTTTTTTGCCTTCTTTTGTACCAGCCAATTTAACAGCTTTCTATTGATGATTACGGTTTGTATGAAGGGGATGACAATAATGCGAATCAGGATACAAGCAAGCAGCAAAGCACGTCAAACCGAGTGGGACACACTGAGCGAAATATCCCCGGAATGCATCGCAAGAAGCAGCTTGTGTCTTTCTTCCGGATTCGTAACATCTAAAGGTAGAACAAGTGTAGTTGCTGTAGTATACGATCCCACACCGCCTCCCTGCCCCTGCTGCCCTTGCTGCTGCTGCTGCAGCTGGGTTTCTTGGTTCGCTAGCTGAGATGAGGAGTTTAAAATTCGGGCATCGGTAAAACCCCGAGGGTCGTAAAGTTTTGGATGTTCGAGTGTAAAGAGGATAAGAGGAATGGCCACCTGAGGTAGGAGGGGAGAGCGGGAGTGCGCAGAGGGGCACAGGGGAGAGGGGAAGAGACCAGGGTGTATCACAGAATGTGTGGGTGCTTGGAGGCATGCACAGCTTTGGATGTTCGAGTGTGAGGAGGATAAGAGGAATGGCCACCTGTGGCACGAGCGGGAGAGCGGGAGAGCGGGAGATTGCAGAGGGGAGAGGGGAAGAGACCAGGGTGTATCACAGAATGTGTGGGTGCTTGGAGGCATGCACAGCTTTGGATGCTCGAGTGTGAGGAGGATAAGAGGAATGGCCACCTGTGGGAGGAGCGGGAGAGCGGGAGATTGCAGAGGGGAGAGCAGGAGAGCGCAGAGGGACAGAGGGGACAGGGGAAAACACGGGTGTGCATCACACAATGAGTGGGTATCTGGAGCGATGCACTGCTTTGGATGCTCGAGTGTGAAGAGGATGCTCGAGTGTGAAGAGGAATGGCCACCTGTGGGAGGAGAGGAGAGAGGAAGGGAGAGGGAGGGTAGATGGTCACACGAGACAGGGGAGTAGAGGAAGGGGGCATCTGTTGAAGACAGGGGCATGCCACATTGGTTGACCTTGTAGCTTGAGGATGTCTGGGTGTGAAGAGAATAAAGAGGAAAGATTACCTGAAGGGGGAGGGAAGAGGGTGTGTGCAGAGCCAAGGAGCCAAGCAGCCTATGCGAGATGCATACGGCGTTTAAGAGGGAAACGATTATTGATTTTTGAGACGTATCAATAATCAGTAACTTGAAGTGGGGAGGGAGGAGGGAGTGGAGTGCAGCACAAAGGAGTCAAGCAGCCTATGTGAGATGCATACAGCTTATGAGGGGGAGGTGGCGAGGTGGTGGGTGATAAATTTCTGAGAATTATTTAAATCAACCTTTGAGACGTCTCAAAAGTCGTCTCCTTCCGCACAAAATCAACCTGCGACAAAAAAGGAAGAGTACGACTTTTGCGGGGGAGGCGACGAGGGGGTGGCGACGAGGGGGTGGCGACGAGGGGGAGGCGTCCTGCTTTCACTTCACCCAAAAATGCGCATGCTCAAGCACACACACACGCACACGGTGTGGGAAGGAGGTGAGTTTTGAGTCGACGTAAAAGTCACCTGCTTTCACCCAACAATGCGCATGCTGCTCAAGCACACACGCACACACGGTGTGGGAAGGAGACTTTTGAGTCGACTCAAAAGACAATGCGCATGCTCAAGCACACACACGCACACGGTGTGGGAAGGAACGGCGGCACACATACCATAGCACACATACCATAGCACACATACCATAGCACACATACCATAGCACACATACCATAGCACACATACCATAGCACACATACCATAGCACACATACCATAGCACACATACCATAGCACACATACCATAGCACACATACCATAGCACACATACCATAGCACACATACCATAGCACACATACCATAGCACACATACCATAGCACACATACCATAGCACACATACCATAGCACACATACCATAGCACACATACCATAGCACACATGCCTGTGGTGGGAAGGAATATACACACGCGTGCCTGTGCGGGTATTGCCTCGGCAGCAAAGACGGGGGAAGAGACCTGATTTCACGCACAGACACACGCACTCTAGCACACACGCACCTGTGCGGGTATTGCCTCGGCGAATACGGGGATGACGTGCAGAGCAGCAGAGTCCACCAGGTTTAGTCCCACCCAAGGACCCACACACTCAAGAGCACACACTCACGCACCTGAGCGGGTATGTCCTCAGCAGCAAACACGGGGATGACGTGCAGAGCAGCAGAGTCCACCAGCCTCTGTGGGCAAGGGGAGTGCACTTAGGCTGGGAGGGAGGGACCTGCCTCACTCGTCTCAAACAGTCAGGCAATCAAACTCACGCACCTGAGCAGGTATTGCCTCACCTGAGCAGTGATTTTAGTACCTCTCAGATTAGTCAGGTCGGTCGAACCGAGCTTGCAGCTTTCTACCCGTTTTCTTAGTTTGAGAACAGTCAGGCAATCAAACTCACGCACCTGAGCAGGTATTGCCTCACCTGAGCAGTGATTTTAGTACCTCTCAGATTAGTCAGGTCGGTCGAACCGAGCTTGCAGCTTTCTACCCGTTTTCTTAGTTTGAGAACAGTCAGGCAATCAAACTCACGCACCTGAGCAGGTATTGCCTCGGCAGCGAATACAGGGATGACGTGCAGAGCAGCAGAATCAACCAGCCTCTGTGGGATGAAGAAGGCCGATGAGGGGGAGGCAACCTGTTCTCACCCGAAGGTGCACACTGTGCAGAGCAATGCGCGTACCTGTGCGGGTATTGCCTCGGCTGCAAAGACGGGGATGACGTGCAGAGCAGCCGAGTCTACCAGCCTCTGCTTCCACCCAAGGACGCTCACACATAAAGGGAAGGAATCTAATTTCACACACCTGTGCGGGTATTGCCTGGGCAGCAAACACGGGGATGACGTGCAGAGCAGCAGAGTCTACCAGCCTCTGCGGGCAAGGGGAGTGCACTTAGGGTGGGAGGGAGGGACCTGCCTCACTCCTCTCACACAGTCAGGCAATCAACCTCACGCACCTGAGCAGGTATTGCCTGGGCAGCGAATACGGGGATGACGTGCAGAGCAGCCGAGTCCACCAGCCTTTGTGGGATGAAGAAGGCCAATGAGGGGGGGGCGACCTGTTCTCACCCGAAGGTGCACATTGTGCAGAGCAATGCACGTACCTGAGCAGGTATGGCCTCAGCGGCAAACACGGGGATGACGTGCAGAGCAGCAGAATCTACCAGCCTTTGTGGGATGAAGAAGGCCGATGAGGGGAGGCGGCCTGTTTTAACCAGAGGGCCCACACTGTGTACAGCAATGACGTGCAGAGCAGCCGAGTCGACCAGTCTCTGTGGGATGAAGAAAGCCGATGAGGGGGAGGCGGCCTGTTCTCACCCGAAGGTGCACATTGTGCAGAGCAATGCGCGTACCTGAGCAGGTATGGCCTCAGCGGCAAACACGGGGATGACGTGCAGAGCAGCAGAATCTACCAGCCTTTGTGGGATGAAGAAGGCCGATGAGGGGAGGCGGCCTGTTTTAACCAGAGGGCCCACACTGTGTACAGCAATGACGTGCAGAGCAGCCGAGTCGACCAGCCGCTGTGGGATGAGGGGCAGGCAACCTGATTTTGCCCGAGGACGCACACACGCAAGCACACACTCAGGCACACACCATGGGAAGGAACACAAGCCTCTGTGGGATGAAGAAGGCCGATGAGGGGCAGGCGGCGAGGGGGAAGGACTGGTGGCGGGGCCAGAGAGAGCGGTCCAGCTGGGCTCGGAGGGATTCAGAGAGGTGCGAGAGCGATGTGGAGATGTGGGTGGGGAGATCCGAGGGGTCCAGAGCGGTGCGGATGGGCGCGGAGGGCGGTTGGTCGAGGGGGAGGGTGAGGAGATGGTTCGGGTTGGAAGAGTTTAGGTACCAGATTTTGTTCTGTGGGGGTGTGGAGAGGGGTGGAGTGGGATGGAAGGGGGGTGGAAGGGGCGGGAGGAAACGGGAAGGGGAGAGAATGGAGAATGGAGAATGGAGAAGAATTGAGAAGCTAAGTGGGGAAATGGACGGGTGGGATCATCAAGGGGGGTATCAGCCAGCGTCCAGTAGTTCAGTAGTGCATCGTCGTCCAGCCAGAGGAAGCAGCAGAAGGGAGCATATGGAAAGCACTATTCCGGGCAGGTGAAAAAAAGTACTCCCTATTCTTACTAAGGCTTGCCCTAGCATAATCCTGAATCCGAATGACTAGTGCAATGGGAGGTGGAGTAGACCTAATAGCTTGAAAGCAAAGTAGCGTGAAATCTGGTGAAAGCGGGAACGAAATGACGAGTTAGGGTTAGCCAACAGGGCTGGCTGGTAAGTACCGTGAAATTTGTTGGGGGGGTTAATTTTGACAGGTTGGAGTTTGTAGATAAAGTGGAGTTCAATGCGGTAGAAGGGATGGATTTCAATCCCTAGATGGGATCTGAAATTCAACATTTGCCAGACGTTTCGAAGTCAGATCCCCGTTTGCCTAGACCGCGGATTTGAATTTCGACTACGGCGAAATGCTCACCTAGGAAATCCGCATCTTTTTTGCGATTTTGTTTTTCGGGCAGCCCTAAAAAAATTCTGATAGCGTATAGCGTATTCGCTAGCGTATAGCGGATAGCGTATGTACGCGCTAGCGTACATACGCTAAACGCTTAAGGTGTTAAGCGTATATTCCCACTCAGGGTGGGAGTGGGTGGGAGTGGGTGCATGTGAGCATACCCGCAATGACCCCGTTAAAATTAGTTGGTTTCGATCCGCAGCAAGCCTACTAAGAGTTTACGAATGATCTATAGAACTAATTCTACTAATCTGAAAAGGAGAGCATACCCGCAATGACCCCAAGATGACTTTTGAGTCGGCTCAAAAGTCAAAAGTCATTTTGAGTCGACTCAAAAGTCAAAAGTCATTTTGAGTCGACTCAAAACTCAAAAGTCATTTTGAGTCGACTCAAAAGTCAAAAGTCATTTTGAGTCGACTCAAAAGTCAAAAGTCATTTTGAGTCGACTCAAAAGTCAAAAGTCATTTTGAGTCGACTCAAAAGTCAAAAGTCATTTTGAGTCGACTCAAAAGTCAAAAGTCATTTTGAGTCGACTCAAAAGTCAAAAGTCACTTTGAGTCGACTCAAAAGTCAAAAGTCATTTTGAGTCGACTCAAAAGTCATCTACTAATCTGAAAAGGAGAGCATACCCGCAATGACCCCCAGCTCGGGACGGCTTCCGTTGACACAGCCAATCGGTCGTAGAATAAGCGGCCGTGCAAGTACAGAGGAGATGCAGAGAAAGAGTGGGTGGGAGTGGGTACGAGCATACTGCCATAAACCCCAGCTCAGGGATGGCTTCAGTTGAAACTGTCACCAGATCGTTGAACACGCGGCCGTACACGTGGGAAGGAAAGAGGCATGAGGAGCACGAGTTGCAGCCGCAGACGTGGGTGGGAGATAGTGGGTGGGTGGGAGCATACCGCAATGACCCCCAGCTCGGGGATTGCTTCTGTTGACACCGCCACGAAATCGTCAAACACGTGGCCGTACACGTGGCGCCAGAACTCCAATGTTTGCCATGCTCGCACTGGCCTGGGGTGCGCAGTCAGTCAGTGCGGGGGGTATACACAAGGGCAGTGCAAGAAAGAGCAGATTGTCAAACACGCGGCTGTACACATGGCGCCAGAACTCAAGAGTTTGCCATGCCCGTATGGGCCTGGAGCAGCAGGTGAAACGAGCAGCAGAGGGGCAAGCAACAGGGAGGACAGAGAGCGTGAGGATGAGAATACGCGGCCATACACGTGGCGCCAGAACTCCAGTGTCTGCCATGCGCGTATGGGCCTGGAGCAGCGGAGGTGAGGGCATACGTGCAGACATGGGATGGGGGCAGCAGGTCAACACGAGGCACAAGCAACAGCAGACTGTCAAACACGCGGCCGTACACGTGGCGCCAGAACTCCAGTGTCTGCCATGCGCGTATGGGCCTGGAGCAGCGGAGGTGAGGGCATACGTGCAGACATGGGATGGGGGCAGCAGGTCAACACGAGGCACAAGCAACAGCAGACTGTCAAACACGCGGCCGTACACGTGGCGCCAGAACTCCAGTGTCTGCCATGCGCGTATGGGCCTGGAGCAGCGGAGGTGAGGGCATACGTGCAGACATGGGATGGGGGCAGCAGGTCAACACGAGGCACAAGCAACAGCAGACTGTCAAACACGCGGCCGTACACGTGGCGCCAGAACTCCAGTGTCTGCCATGCGCGTATGGGCCTGGAGCAGCGGAGGTGAGGGCATACGTGCAGACATGGGATGGGGGCAGCAGGTCAACACGAGGCACAAGCAACAGCAGACTGTCAAACACGCGGCCGTACACGTGGCGCCAGAACTCCAGTGTCTGCCATGCGCATATGGGCCTGGAGCAGCGGAGGTGAGGGCATACGTGCAGACATGGGATGGGGGCAGCAGGTCAACACGAGGCACAAGCAACAGCAGACTGTCAAACACGCGGCCGTACACGTGGCGCCAGAACTCCAGTGTCTGCCATGCGCGTATGGGCCTGGAGCAGCGGAGGTGAGGGCATACGTGCAGACATGGGATGGGGGCAGCAGGTCAACACGAGGCACAAGCAACAGCAGACTGTCAAACACGCGGCCGTACACGTGGCGCCAGAACTCCAGCGTCTGCCATGCGCGTATGGGCCTGGAGCAGCGGAGGTGAGGGCATACGTGCAGACATGGGATGGGGGCAGCAGGTCAACACGAGGCACAAGCAACAGCAGACTGTCAAACACGCGGCCGTACACGTGGCGCCAGAACTCCAGTGTCTGCCATGCGCGTATGGGCCTGGAGCAGCGGAGGTGAGGGCATACGTGCAGACATGGGATGGGGGCAGCAGGTCAACACGAGGCACAAGCAACAGCAGACTGTCAAACACGCGGCCGTACACGTGGCGCCAGAACTCCAGTGTCTGCCATGCGCGTATGGGCCTGGAGCAGCGGAGGTGAGGGCATACGTGCAGACATGGGATGGGGGCAGCAGGTCAACACGAGGCACAAGCAACAGCAGACTGTCAAACACGCGGCCGTACACGTGGCGCCAGAACTCCAGTGTCTGCCATGCGCGTATGGGCCTGGAGCAGCGGAGGTGAGGGCATACGTGCAGACATGGGATGGGGGCAGCAGGTCAACACGAGGCACAAGCAACAGCAGACTGTCAAACACGCGGCCGTACACGTGGCGCCAGAACTCCAGTGTCTGCCATGCGCGTATGGGCCTGGAGCAGCGGAGGTGAGGGCATACGTGCAGACATGGGATGGGGGCAGCAGGTCAACACGAGGCACAAGCAACAGCAGACTGTCAAACACGCGGCCGTACACGTGGCGCCAGAACTCCAGTGTCTGCCATGCGCGTATGGGCCTGGAGCAGCGGAGGTGAGGGCATACGTGCAGACATGGGATGGGGGCAGCAGGTCAACACGAGGCACAAGCAACAGCAGACTGTCAAACACGCGGCCGTACACGTGGCGCCAGAACTCCAGTGTCTGCCATGCGCGTATGGGCCTGGAGCAGCGGAGGTGAGGGCATACGTGCAGACATGGGATGGGGGCAGCAGGTCAACACGAGGCACAAGCAACAGCAGACTGTCAAACACGCGGCCGTACACGTGGCGCCAGAACTCCAGTGTCTGCCATGCGCATATGGGCCTGGAGCAGCGGAGGTGAGGGCATACGTGCAGACATGGGATGGGGGCAGCAGGTCAACACGAGGCACAAGCAACAGCAGACTGTCAAACACGCGGCCGTACACGTGGCGCCAGAACTCCAGTGTCTGCCATGCGCGTATGGGCCTGGAGCAGCGGAGGTGAGGGCATACGTGCAGACATGGGATGGGGGCAGCAGGTCAACACGAGGCACAAGCAACAGCAGACTGTCAAACACGCGGCCGTACACGTGGCGCCAGAACTCCAGCGTCTGCCATGCGCGTATGGGCCTGGAGCAGCGGAGGTGAGGGCATACGTGCAGACATGGGATGGGGGCAGCAGGTCAACACGAGGCACAAGCAACAGCAGACTGTCAAACACGCGGCCGTACACGTGGCGCCAGAACTCCAGTGTCTGCCATGCGCGTATGGGCCTGGAGCAGCGGAGGTGAGGGCATACGTGCAGACATGGGATGGGGGCAGCAGGTCAACACGAGGCACAAGCAACAGCAGACTGTCAAACACGCGGCCGTACACGTGGCGCCAGAACTCCAGTGTCTGCCATGCGCGTATGGGCCTGGAGCAGCGGAGGTGAGGGCATACGTGCAGACATGGGATGGGGGCAGCAGGTCAACACGAGGCACAAGCAACAGCAGACTGTCAAACACGCGGCCGTACACGTGGCGCCAGAACTCCAGTGTCTGCCATGCGCGTATGGGCCTGGAGCAGCGGAGGTGAGGGCATACGTGCAGACATGGGATGGGGGCAGCAGGTCAACACGAGGCACAAGCAACAGCAGACTGTCAAACACGCGGCCGTACACGTGGCGCCAGAACTCCAGTGTCTGCCATGCGCATATGGGCCTGGAGCAGCGGAGGTGAGGGCATACGTGCAGACATGGGATGGGGGCAGCAGGTCAACACGAGGCACAAGCAACAGCAGACTGTCAAACACGCGGCCGTACACGTGGCGCCAGAACTCCAGTGTCTGCCATGCGCGTATGGGCCTGGAGCAGCGGAGGTGAGGGCATACGTGCAGACATGGGATGGGGGCAGCAGGTCAACACGAGGCACAAGCAACAGCAGACTGTCAAACACGCGGCCGTACACGTGGCGCCAGAACTCCAGCGTCTGCCATGCGCGTATGGGCCTGGAGCAGCGGAGGTGAGGGCATACGTGCAGACATGGGATGGGGGCAGCAGGTCAACACGAGGCACAAGCAACAGCAGACTGTCAAACACGCGGCCGTACACGTGGCGCCAGAACTCCAGTGTCTGCCATGCGCGTATGGGCCTGGAGCAGCGGAGGTGAGGGCATACGTGCAGACATGGGATGGGGGCAGCAGGTCAACACGAGGCACAAGCAACAGCAGACTGTCAAACACGCGGCCGTACACGTGGCGCCAGAACTCCAGTGTCTGCCATGCGCGTATGGGCCTGGAGCAGCGGAGGTGAGGGCATACGTGCAGACATGGGATGGGGGCAGCAGGTCAACACGAGGCACAAGCAACAGCAGACTGTCAAACACGCGGCCGTACACGTGGCGCCAGAACTCCAGTGTCTGCCATGCGCGTATGGGCCTGGAGCAGCGGAGGTGAGGGCATACGTGCAGACATGGGATGGGGGCAGCAGGTCAACACGAGGCACAAGCAACAGCAGACTGTCAAACACGCGGCCGTACACGTGGCGCCAGAACTCCAGTGTCTGCCATGCGCGTATGGGCCTGGAGCAGCGGAGGTGAGGGCATACGTGCAGACATGGGATGGGGGCAGCAGGTCAACACGAGGCACAAGCAACAGCAGACTGTCAAACACGCGGCCGTACACGTGGCGCCAGAACTCCAGTGTCTGCCATGCGCGTATGGGCCTGGAGCAGCGGAGGTGAGGGCATACGTGCAGACATGGGATGGGGGCAGCAGGTCAACACGAGGCACAAGCAACAGCAGACTGTCAAACACGCGGCCGTACACGTGGCGCCAGAACTCCAGTGTCTGCCATGCGCGTATGGGCCTGGAGCAGCGGAGGTGAGGGCATACGTGTAGACATGGGATGGGGGCAGCAGGTCAACACGAGGCACAAGCAACAGCAGACTGTCAAACACGCGGCCGTACACGTGGCGCCAGAACTCCAGTGTCTGCCATGCGCGTATGGGCCTGGAGCAGCGGAGGTGAGGGCATACGTGCAGACATGGGATGGGGGCAGCAGGTCAACACGAGGCACAAGCAACAGCAGACTGTCAAACACGCGGCCGTACACGTGGCGCCAGAACTCCAGTGTCTGCCATGCGCGTATGGGCCTGGAGCAGCGGAGGTGAGGGCATACGTGCAGACATGGGATGGGGGCAGCAGGTCAACACGAGGCACAAGCAACAGCAGACTGTCAAACACGCGGCCGTACACGTGGCGCCAGAACTCCAGTGTCTGCCATGCGCGTATGGGCCTGGAGCAGCGGAGGTGAGGGCATACGTGCAGACATGGGATGGGGGCAGCAGGTCAACACGAGGCACAAGCAACAGCAGACTGTCAAACACGCGGCCGTACACGTGGCGCCAGAACTCCAGTGTCTGCCATGCGCGTATGGGCCTGGAGCAGCGGAGGTGAGGGCATACGTGTAGACATGGGATGGGGGCAGCAGGTCAACACGAGGCACAAGCAACAGCAGACTGTCAAACACGCGGCCGTACACGTGGCGCCAGAACTCCAGTGTCTGCCATGCGCGTATGGGCCTGGAGCAGCGGAGGTGAGGGCATACGTGCAGACATGGGATGGGGGCAGCAGGTCAACACGAGGCACAAGCAACAGCAGACTGTCAAACACGCGGCCGTACACGTGGCGCCAGAACTCCAGTGTCTGCCATGCGCGTATGGGCCTGGAGCAGCGGAGGTGAGGGCATACGTGCAGACATGGGATGGGGGCAGCAGGTCAACACGAGGCACAAGCAACAGCAGACTGTCAAACACGCGGCCGTACACGTGGCGCCAGAACTCCAGCGTCTGCCATGCTCGCACCGGCCTGGGGTGGGAAGCTGAGTGGGCAGGGCAGGGGGCGAGCAGCAGGAGGGAAGCGGCATGAGCAGCACAACACGTGCCGCCAGAACTCCACGTTTGCCATGCGCGCACAGGCCTGGGGGAGAGAGGAGGCATAAGCAGCGGGGATCCAGGCAGGAGCGAAGAGGCATGAGCAGCCTGCGAGTAGACATGGTTCCATTTCTCCAGTGTTGAATACGAGACCGTACAGAATTGCGAGACGGGTCTCAAAAGTCTCAACGTTGAAGACAGGACCGTACAGAATTGCATGGTTACCATCACTACGCTACGCGTGGCCGGCCGCTACGCGTGGCCACCACGCGACTTTTGAGACGTCTCAAATCAAAAGTCAACTCTGCATGGTTACCACTACGCGTGGCGTGGCCACTACGCGACTTTTGAGACGTCTCAAAAGTCCACCACGCGTGGCCAGGCCACTGCGTGGCGCCATACCTCCAACTCACAGTTGACTTTTGAGTCGTCTTATTCTTGAGTCGACCGACTTTTGACTCGACTGACTTGAGTCGACTCAAAAGTCAACTCTGCATGGTTACCACCACGCGTGGCCAGGCCACTACGTGTCGCCATGCCTCCAACTCGTGATAAAACTGATGTTTTGAGACGTCTCAAAACTCACAGGCCTGCTGCAGCAGAGCAACAGGCATGAGAACGAGCTTATGCATCTACCCCGCTTCTAGAAGAGAGCACATCGAGAGCATACTTAAAGGTGTATTTTGAGGCGCCTCAAAATGCATCTGCCCCGCTGCTAGAAGAGATGTAGGTCAACAACAAGTGACGTAAGCACATTGAGAGCATACTTATATTGTCGTCCCCAGCACTCGAATACCCATCACCAACCCAACTGACCCATTCCCACCCACCATCCCTTTCCTCGTCACAACACTCCATTCTCCATCACCAGATCCACTCCTCTGAAGAACTCCCTCCCACTGCTGCTGAAGCTGTGTTCTCTTGATGCACTTACCACCCACCCAACACTCCTCTCCCCGTCCCCAGCACTCATGTCCCCCACCCACACAGCTGCCTCCTCGCCCCCATCCCATCCCAACCCAACTCACCTGGAAAAGTGCAGCACCAATACCACTCCTTTGAAGAACTCCCTCCACTGCTGAAGCTTCCGTGCACCTTCCTTCCTCCGGCTCGACAGCCCCCCGCCGCCCGCCTCGTCATCGTCATCCTCATCCTCGTCAGCACCGCCGGCTGGATCTTTATTCTCGTTATTAGCTGCACCATCCTCGTTATTAGACCTTTTGCTTGGATTTTGGGAGCTGCTACTGCCTGCAGCAGCGGTGGTATTGGGCTGGGCGGACAGAGTAGCGGGAGGGAGTATATAGAGTGTCACTTGGCAGCAGTGGCAGTGGTGTGTGTGGCATTGGCAGCAGTGGTGGCGACAGTTGCAGCAGCGGAGGAATTTGGCTGGGCGGACAGAGTAGCGGGAGGGAGTAAAGAGTGTCACTTGGCAGCAGTGGCAGAGGCATTGGCATTGGCAGCAGTGGCAGAGGCATTGACATTGGCAGCAGTGGCAGTGCGATTGGTAGCTGTGGCGAATGCTGGAATTTTTCAACTCATAAGTGCCAAAATGCAGAACTTCAACGCCTCAAAATACACCTGGGTGGACCGGAGTAGGGAAGGGAGGGAGTATCAACGTCACTCCACTCTACCCCCGACAGAGAGACGGCGCACTTACCACCATGCCAAGATGCGCCTTCCTCCCTCTCAGCGATTCAATATACACCTGGCCCGGTAGACCGGAGTAGGGAAGGGAGGGAGTATCGAATCGAACGTCACTCCACTCTACCCCCGACAGAGAGATGGATGGAGCACTTACCACCATGCCCTGTTGGTTTACCACCACCATGCCAGGATGCGCCTTCCTCCCTCTACCACCACCACCACCACCACCATGGAAGGGAGGGAGTATCAAATCGAACGTCACTCCACTCTACCACCAACAGAGAGATGGATGGTGCACTTACCACCATGCCTTGTTGATTTACCACCACCATGCCAGGATGCGCCTTCCTCCCTCTCAGCGACTCAGCAGCTGCAAGGAGGGGTGAAAACAGGAGGGCGGAGGGACGAGGGGAGAGAGGGGGGAAGGAGTGAGGGTTTAGGGCTTCCGGTTCAGGAGTTGGGTTTAGGATATAGAGACCATGCAATGCAGCCATTCAGCCCTCATGAGTGGCAATTCAGTCAAGGGTGAGCGAGCGAGAGTGGATGTGTTTGACAAGTTCGAGGTGACTTTTGAGTCGTCTCTATTGTCACCTAGATGCAGCCATTCAGCCCTCATGAGTGGCAATTCAGTCAAGGGTGAGTGAGCGAGAGTGGATGTGTTTGACAAGTTCGAGGTGACTTTTGAGTCGTCTCTATTGTCACCTAGATGCAGCCATTCAGCCCTCATGAGTGGCAATTCAGTCAAGGGTGAGTGAGCGAGAGTGGATGTGTTTGACAAGTTCGAGGTGACTTTTGAGTCGTCTCTATTGTCACCTAGATGCAGCCATTCAGCCCTCATGAGTGGCAATTCAGTCAAGGGTGAGTGAGCGAGAGTGGATGTGTTTGACAAGTTCGAGGTGACTTTTGAGTCGTCTCTATTGTCACCTAGATGCAGCCATTCAGCCCTCATGAGTGGCAATTCAGTCAAGGGTGAGTGAGCGAGAGTGGATGTGTTTGACAAGTTCGAGGTGACTTTTGAGTCGTCTCTATTGTCACCTAGATGCAGCCATTCAGCCCTCATGAGTGGCAATTCAGTCAAGGGTGAGTGAGCGAGAGTGGATGTGTTTGACAAGTTCGAGGTGACTTTTGAGTCGTCTCTATTGTCACCTAGATGCAGCCATTCAGCCCTCATGAGTGGCAATTCAGTCAAGGGTGGTGAGTGAGCAAGTGGATGAATTGACAAGTTTTCAACCACTCACTCGCTCACTCACTCGCTCACTCACTCACTCGCTCACTCACTCACTCACTCACTCGCTCGCTGCCATTCAGTCACGGAATGAATTGGGAATTGCTCAAATGCTCACTCGCTCACTCATGCACTCACTCACTCACTCACTCAATCTCTGCCTCTTATTCATGACCAGTTAGAATGAATATGTTCAGGCACTCGCTCTGAACTTTCTGCTGTTTTGTCACTCCTGCACTGCAACAAGAGGCCTCAAGGTTTCGCCACTTACTGAGCGACTCTCGCGCTGCCAGGCTGGCGGCCACGTCAGCAGACGACCACCTCATGCTGATGAGCTGGCAGAGCGCAAGGGAGGGGAGGAGGGAGGGGAGGAAGGGAGACAGGGGTGTAAGCAGAGGGTAGAAGGGACAGGGGAGGAGGGACAGCAGACGACCACCTCATGCTGATGAGCTGGCAGCGCAGGACACGGCAGGGAGAGAGGGGAGGAAGGGAGCTGTTTTGATACGAGCCTCAACAGGAAACGGGAGTCCGTGCATCAAAACAGCTCCCTAACGATGTCCAGGGACGGGAAGGCTGGACAGGGGAACGAGCAGAACCTGTTTTTTTTTTTAATCTAAAAAACAGCTCCCTAACGATGTAGGGTTTAGGGAAGGATGGAAAGGGGAACGAGCAGCGGAGAGGGTGGGGAAATGTGATGCGAGTGGGCTGGAATGGGATGGGATGGGATGGGAGTGTGGTGGGAATGTGGTGATTTATAACGGGCCAGCAAAAAGAAAGGGTGCTTATAGCGGAGACGACTTACCAGGGCAAAGAGGACGACTATAACGAGGATAAGCAGGCAGAAGAGGCAGGCAGCGAGGCCAAGCAGGGCGATCTTGAAAGTAGCGCTGGAGCCATCCACTCCGCCCCCAAAGCCCCCAAAGCCCAAGGGGGAGGTGCTGGGGGAGAGCAGGCGGGGCAGGGCTGCGCGCTTGCGCCCCATGGTGAGGGGACGGGGCTGGGGGGCGCAGGGAGGGGGGAAAGGGGAGGGGGGGCGAGGAGCGGGAACAAGGAGCGGACAGAGCAGAGGGAAAAGGGAGGGCGAGGAGGGGAGGGGGAATACTGAGGCCAAGGGGAGCTGTGTTGAATATGGCGATTGACCCATCCCCTCCGCCCCCAAAGCCCAAGGGGGAGGTGCTGGGGGAGAGCAGGCGGGGCAGGGCTGCGCGCTTGCGCCCCATGGTGAGGGGACGGGGCTGGGGAGGGGGGGAATGGGGGAAAGGGGAGGGGGAACAAGGTGTGGAAGAGGGGACGGGGAATGGGAGGCGGGAGGGGACGGGGAAGAGGAGGGGGAGCAGGGATGGGGAGAGGGAGGGGGGGCAATGACGGGGAACAGTGAGGCCAAGCAGGGCCATCTTGAAAGTGGCGCTGGACCCATCCCCTCCGCCCCCAAAGCCCAAAGGGGAGGTGCTGGGGGTGGGGGAGAGCAGGCAGGGGAGGGCTGCTCGCTTGCGCCCCATGGTGACGGGACGGGGCTGGGGGGGAGAAGAGGGAGGGGGAAGGGAAGGGGGAAAAAGTAGGCAAGGGAACTATCTTGAGAGCTGCGCGCTTGCACCACCTCCTCATTCATTATTGCGGGATAAGAGACGACTTTTGAGGCGCCTCAAAGGCTGCGCGCTTGCACCGCCACCTCGTTATCCCCTCTCTCACCTCCGCTTCCCCCTTACCTACCTCTTCTTTCTTCCCTCGCCTTACCATGGTTCGCTCTCTTTCCATACTCACCTCACTAATCATGATCCTCTCTCTCACCCAAACCCCCCACACCACACTCCACCCCTCCGGTTCTCTCCTCCACTCATAGTGCCCGCAATCTTTTAAATGGCGAAATATGGTAACGATAACGCCTGACTCGTATTCTTATGACTCACCCCTCCCGCTCGCTGCCTTTCCGCCATGTGGTATGTCATCCACGGAAGACAGTGCAATTACTCGTATTCGTCTAATCTCTCGATAAATCGTCTCGATTAACGCGTGCCGCTCGGCGGGCGATTACTGCAGTCGAGGCGATCCGACACAAGTATGGAATGGACGGCTATTCTAGGAAGAATCCGTAGCATTACCTAACCAGCGACGGGTCAAAATAGCAGATGCTGGGAATGGGAACTGACCATAGAGTGTCCGTACAGCTTCTGGGAAAGTGGAGCTTTCGAGGCTCAAGAGTCGAGTCGTCAAATCACCAAGGGGATGGCAGACGGTGCAGATGATGGCACAGCGTTTTGATGCGGTATTTTATGGTTCATGCTCGGTTTGAAGTGTCGAGCATTGATTATGCCAGTTTCCCCAATTCACAGTTAGTATCCCCGTTTGAGAATGGTTCTGGTTTGGAGAGACTACACTTGTTCGATTGTTCAGTTACACTAAAGTTCCTACCTGTAACTTGTCCTAGAACCTGATCACAACGTCGGTGGTCTGTCTGTTTGTTACGAGTGCAATTTGAGTGAGCGAGCGAGAATTGCACTATCGAAGCAAGAGTACAATGAGCGAAGGCATGAGCGAAGAATATATAGCGAAACTACAGTGGTAACGGTAATGCGTGGAAATTGGGGTGCGCGACGGGCCTGTCGCCGAGGTTGGGAAGTGGCGAGGCGGAGGTCCGGAGCGCGGGTTACCAACCGAACCGTGAGGTTGGGTCGCGTCGTGAACAGTGGCGGGAACAGTGTCGAAGCGAGTGTCGCGAGTGGTAACGGATTACTGTTGGGTGCTGTTGGCGGGAACAGTGGTGTACGCGCTGAGCAGGGACGCGAAGTAAGGAAAAGGAATTTTCCTTACACTACCCCCCTCCCCAAGGAGGCCCCTCTTATGAGAGCGCGTGTACATCTCGGAAGTTTCGGCTTCGCAGATACTCAGTAAGGACAGGGTGATTCTCGATTCTATCCAGGGGGACCCAGTTGTCCTCGGTGGGCGTGCGGTCCTTCCAGCGGATCAGGAATTCGATTCTGCGGGCTCCCCGTGGGTCACGTACTCGATGGCTCAGGATTTTTTCGGGCGTGATGATTGGCTCAGTCGGTGGTCGTGTCATACTGGCGGGGCGGTTGCGAGGCAGTTGGCTGGTGGATGGCACGTATGGGCGAAGCAGGCTGACGTGGAATGACGGGCTGACGTACCAGTCAGCAGGGAGGAGGAGGTGGGCGGTGACGGGTGTGATCATGTGGCTGATGCGAAATGGCCCGCAATATCGGGGGCGGAGCTTCGGGGTGATGGGCAGGCGGAGGTTTTGAGTGTCGAGTAATACCAGGTCGTCGGGTTGGTAAGTGACGGGGCGGCGGTGTCGGTCGGCGTTGCGTTTAGCGATGACGTTTGATTTTTTCATTGCTTCTGCTGCTCGGGTCCGTGCTGCTTGTAATATTTCTGCGAACTGTTGCGCGCGTGGGACTGGGTTGTCGGGATTCGGGGTCATGGGTACTGTGGGGTCTTGTCCGTAGTTCAGATAAAACGGTGACTGTTGGGTCGTGGCGGAGGGTGAGTTGTTGTATGCGAATTCGATGAGTGGCAGTTGCTGTTCCCATGTGTTCGGGTCGTCGCACGTGGCCCGGATGAGCTGTTCCATGGTCTGATTTGTCCGTTCTGTCTGTCCGTCGGTTTCGGGGTGGTATGATGAACTAAACTGTAGTCGCATGCCGAACTGCTGCCACAGGTTCCGCCAGAAGTTGCTGGTGAATTTCGTGTCTCTGTCGCTGATGATTGATGCTGGTATCCCGTGCAGTCGAACGACGGTAGAGATGAAGAGGCGGGCTGTTTCTTCGGCTGTGATTGATTTTTTGCAGGCTGCGAAGTGTGCCATTTTCGTCAGTCGATCGACGACGACCAGGATCGCGTCATTCCCACTTGCCCCGACCGGTAACCCCGTGACGAAGTCCATCGTCACCTGCTGCCAATCACGCTCTGGGGGTGGGATCGGCTGCAACTGTCCTGCCGGCCGCTTCCGTGATGATTTCATGATCTGGCAAGTGGGACACGACGCCACGTGTCGCTGCACGTCGGTCAACATTTCGGGCCAGTAATAATACCGTTGCAGCTGCTGCCGTGTTTTCTCTACCCCGAAATGTCCCAAGGTAACCCCGTCGTGTGCCTCCTATAATAGTAATTCCCGTAGCAGTGTGTACCCTGGTACCCAGATGCGGTCGGTCCCGGCTTTTATGTAATAGACTCCCTTGGCTGCTGCGAACTGCTGCGAATTTCCTCCTGTGAAGAATGGGTCCGTTTGATATCCGTGGGTAAATAGTCCTGTCAGTAGCGGGCTGGTCTGGGCGAGTAGTATCGCGTGGATCTGGGCAGTGGGGCGGGTCAGTGCGTCGGCGATGTTCGAGGCTCCCTTTTTATAGGTGACCGTGTAGTGGAAGTTTGACTCGAGGAAATCGAGCCACCGAATCTGTCGTGGGTTGAGGTGGGGCTGTGCGCGGAGGTACTGTAGTGATCGGTGGTCTGTCCGTACTGTCACGTCTGCGCCGGTCAAGTAACAGCGCCACACTTTGAACGCATGCACGATCGCGAGCATTTCGCGGTCGTGTATCGGGTAGTTTCTCTCGGGCGGATGCAGTTTTCGTGACTCGTATGCGATGGGCTGTAGGCCGTTGCCGAAATCCTGTAGCAGTACGGCTCCAATGGCGATGTCGCTCGCATCTGTAACGACTTCGAAGGGGCGGTGTGGGTCGGCGATGCGCAGGACGGGCGGTGAACAGAGAACATTTTTCAGGGCAGAAAATGTCAAACATTGTATGTTTACATTGTGTAGGCTATAGTGGGTTTAGCCTTAGGGGGTACACAAACTTAGGGTTTCCTACTTGTACCCAACTTTGTGCTAGTTCATTCATTCCTGTTTCGTTATTTCTGATATGGTTTCAGAGCAGGTCCTCCGCTAGGACCGATTTTTTTTTAAGGGCCCACCACACTGACTGTCTACTAGCGCCCTAGTGCGCCCTACTGTCGTAGCGCCCTCGTGCGCCCCTCCTTAGCGGCCCCTTACGGCCCCGTCGACCCCTTAGCGGCCCCTCAAGGCCCAGTCGACCCCGCGCGCCGCCCCTTAACGGCCCCTTACGGCCCCGTCGACCCCGCGCACCGCCCCTTAGCGGCCCCTTACGGCCCCGTCGACCCCACGCGCCGCCCCTTAGCGGCCCCTTACGGCCCCGTCGACCCCGCGCGCCGCCTCTTAGTGGCCCCTTACGGCCCCGTCGACCCCGCGCGCCGCCCCTTAGTGGCCCCGTCGGCCCCGCGTTCGCCCCTTAGCGGCCCCCTACGGCCCCGTCGACCCCGAGCGCCGCCCCTTAGCGGCCCCTTACGGCCCCGTCGACCCCGAGCGCCGCCCCCTAGAGGCCCCTTACGGCCCCGTCGACCCCTTGCGCCGCCCCTTAGCGGCCCCGTCGGCCCCGCGTTCGCCCCTTACCGGCCCCGCCAGAACCGAGCCGCCCCACGTGCGACCGCCACGGCCCCGCCAGAACCGAGCCGCCCGAACCGAGCCGCCCGAACCGAGCCGCCCAGAACCGAGCCGAGCCGCGCCGCCCGAACCGAGCCGCGCCGCCCTCCCCGTACTGAGCAGCCCTCTCTGGACCGAGCCGCCCTACCTGAGTCGCACTGCCTGCTGCTTTTAGGGTTTCGCCTGCAGCTCCTACTGCTACTGTTTCTGCTGCTACTACTGCCCTTACTGCAACTATGGCTAGCCCTGCTGTTCTAGCTTTCGATGCTGAGGGTCGCCCACTGAAGTTTGAGACCTGGCTAGATGACTTGCACCTGTTCCTCCAGCTCACTGCCAAGGAGGATATCTCGCTGTACGATCACGCACTAGGCAATGCTGCTGCCCCTGCTACTACTGCTGACAGTACTGCCCGTTCACAGTGGCAGACTCGTGACGCCCACGCTCGCTTTGCCATTCGCAACTCCCTGCCGGTAGATGAGCGCGAGCACTTTGGCCAGCACAAAACTGCACAGGCACTGTACACTGCTGTAGTTGCACACTACTCCTCGCCTGCCTCTGCTGCGCTAGGCCGTCTCTCACTCCCCTACCTGTTCCCCGACCTGTCCTCTTTCCACACAGTCGCTGACCTCATCACGCACCTCCGCACTAGTGAGGCCCGCTTCCATGCTGCTATGCCCGCTGAGTTTCTTGCCACCCACCCCCCCCCGCTCTGGCTCACTCTCTATCACCTAGTCACCCGTCTCCCTGACTCCCTTCGAGCGGTCAGGGACCACTTCCTCGCTCGCTGCCCCACTGAGCTCACCGTTGATCTGCTCGAGAAGGAACTGCTTGCAGCTAAGAAGAGTATTGTAGCTGTAGGTGCCTCTCGTGGCGACCCCCGCACCCCGTTCTTCGAGGGGTGTTCCCCTTCCCCCCTTCTCCCCTCTGTCGCCTCTGCTGCTGCTGTCGACCTAGTTGGTACTGAGCAGGTCGGGACTGCGTCCGCTCCGAGTTGGCGCCGCAGCGGCAAGGGCAAAGGGGGCAAGGGAGGTGGAGGTGACGGCGGGGGAGGCGGTGGTGGGGGCGGTGGAGGCGGTGGGGGTGGTGGCGGGGCAGGAGGAGCTAGTGGCAGCGGTGGGGGTGGTGGCGGCAGCAGCGGAGGAGGTGGCCGGGGTGGGGGCGGTGGTGGGGGCGGCGGTGGACGAGGCGGCGGCAGGAGCGGTGGTGGTCGAGGTGGTGGCGGCGGAGGTGGTGGTCGTGGTGGCGCTGGCGGACAGCAGACTCTCTCTTCCCAGGAGCTTCGTGAGTGGTACTCTCAGCACGGGGGGGGGGGGGGGGTGGGCTTAGCTGCACGTACGTCATCCGCACTAGTGAGCGCACTGGCCACACGTATGGGAGGGCGCACGCCACGCAGCGCTGCTTCTCCCGCCTCGACGACGCTTGGCGCACTCAGTTCCCTACTGCCACTGAGCTGCCCCGCTGGTGGGATCTGATGAAGAAGAACATTGATGTCTTTGCTCTTGACTTTGATGCTATTCTCACTGCCAAGTATGTGTTGTCTACTAGTGGAGAGGGTGATCAGTACCTGCGTGTTCCGCCCGACCCAGGCATTCGCACCAGTGAGGCTGCTGCTCTAGGTGCTTGCGTGTCTGCTGCCCCAGGTGCTGGTGAGGCTACTGCTCTAGGTGCTTACGTGTCTGCTGCCCCAGGTGCTGGTGAGGCTACTGCTTCAAGTGCTAGTGAGTCTGCGCCCCCTGGTACTGAGTCCACTGAGGCACTGCACACCTTCACTCTAGACTCAGGCGCTTCTCGCTGTTTCTTTCGTGACCGCACTGCCCTTGAGCAGCTTGC